AATAATCATCAGAAGGATCGGGTAGAAAAGACATAATAAGTTTATAATTACGGAAAAACTTGACTGTTTCAACAGATTATGGATTAAGGACGTACTATTAACAAAATAGGTAGGAGGTTTGGACAACAACTAACAACCCTGGGGATCGACGGAGTTTCCTGTAGTTCTAGTGAAAAGTCATGAACAGAGTGAGGTCCATCCAGTCGTCAAGTGTGAGGATGGAGTTCCCAGCGATGACATTGATTATTGATCGTGCTCAATCACGAATCGTTAGAAGTTAGAATTCATGTACTGGTTGGCTGGCCATTGAATCGGACGGGTCCCAGTGATTGACTGAATGGTATACGAGTTAGCTTGTCTATTAACTGTTAGGTCGTGGGTTCGAACCCCCCACTGTTGTGGGTTGGTGCGTACTGCCAATGATCCCCAAACTAGGCTGGTGACACTGGTGCCCAGTACTCCGTGGTTTTCAATGGTTCTATAAGTGTTATCAATCCGTGATGAAATCGTAGAAACGAATCTGATCCTTACAAACCAACTCGTGATTATGAGCAATAGTTTCCGCTCGAAACGTTGTCATCAGTTGATATTACTGTATAACACTGTGATTCATCAAAATAAAATCTTATCCATAATAGAGTTATACTCTACCACAATGCCCAAATTTTATACTTAAATCAATAAAATCTAATAGTGCATATAGGAATAAAAAACGTTAAAATAACAGAAATAAACAGGAAGGTTGGATAAGAAAGGTAATCGGATAATTAATCATTACTGGTGAAGCTGAGTTTTTATGATGGCCAGAGTAGGGACAACAGTTACACTAGACGTATTTCTTCTTGAACTTTTGGCTTGCCACACCTTCACCATAAATACACAAATATGTATGGCCTAGTTGATGGTGACTTCGTTAAAAAGAAAATTTTCTTCGCTGCAGCTGTCTGTTTCATAATTCCTATGATCCGTTATCATTGTTAACTAACATATCAGTTTTATGTGTTTGGTAAAATGTTGTGTTATTGTATTAACAATAGCAATAATTATATAATGATAATAATCCCTGCTCAACAGTCTACTCTGTCCTCTTTTACGGCTGTGAGACGTGGTTATTGAAACTGGAAGACATGAAAAGGCTAAGTGGCTGTGTTTGATCAGAGGTGCCTGCGTTCTACCTACCGTCTTAAGTCGTGGTATAATAAAGTGAACAACATTGAGGTTAGACATGGGAAGACTTATGGGTCAGGAGGAAGGGAGATCAATGGACGAGGCTGTGAAGTTGCATCGATTGAGACGTGTTGCGTATGTCTAGCCACTGCCTTCTTTGTCAGTGGACAATGTTAGCTGACTGACATAGGATGGATGAGGTTGGAGGAAAGTCAGCCGGTGGTGGTGGTGGTGGTGAAACAAAAACATAGCTTCATCATCAGTCAATGAAATCCACAACAGTTAGTTTAAATCACGTAGGAACGTGTAGACTTCCTGACTCACTGGTTGCGGTCCTCGGGGATGGTGGTGAGAACCAATGAAGGCTGGAGACAATTGTTGATGTAGTTGAGTTAAGATGGCTGGCTTGTGAAGATGCATCCACTCCTTGTGATTTATAAAATCCAATAAAACTATATTGTTCTTCGATATTAATATTCTCTGTTTTGAATCTTTCTCTACTGTCTTCTTATGCTTTGTGTACTACTTAGAGGGAATGTGGGAACTCGATCTACTGCTGCGCATCGATCCAAAGTTCTATGTTGAAACCAATCAGTCAGACTTTATTCCAAATAGTAATCATTAAACAGAATGGGATTTTCAGCATTTTTGTTGATATTTTCACGAGTTGATCACGGATTGATATCAGTTAGAGAACCATTGAAAACCAGGGAGTACTGGACAGCTGCTGTTTCATCCTAGTTTGGGAATCATCGGCAGTATGCATCCACTGGGATTCGAACCCAGGACCTTCCGGTTTCAAGGCAAGCTCGTATGCCATTCAGCCTCTGGGAACCGATTCAATGGCTCATGAATTCTGACTTCTACTAATTCGTGATCTAGCGCGACCCCAACAAGTAATGGTTTTGTAGGCATTTTGTGTGATTGATTGGTTGGAGGATTTCATTATAAGTTGACATAGGTTGGGTTAGACAAACATTGGAAAATCTGCAGGGAGCACTGCCAGACACTGCCACTGTTTCGTCAGCCTAGTTTTCCAATAGTCCTCTAACTGATGTGTCAGCTCATGATGAAATCCTTTAACTAATTAATCAAAAAGTCTACAAAACCAATACTTGACAATTCGTTCGAAGTCATTTACAAAGTCAAAAGAAACCTCTTTTATTGAAAACGGTAAGCTTCCGTATGCTTTTCGATCTGGACAGAAAATCCTGATTTATATTCGATTTACTGGTCATCATCTTTATCATAATGTCGTCAATAATATTACAGGAAACATAGGGGGGGGGGAGAGGACAGAATGAATCAGTCCATACACACGCAAGTCTTATTCACAAGAGATGCTCTATATGTGTGTATGTATATATGAAAAGTAACTTAGTAAAGTATCTTGTTCGTACAGCTGGGATCATCTGTTCAAATGACTACCTCAATGAATGAGGAGCTTAAGATTATTAGAGAATTACTTAATAAAAAAAATGGCTATCCAGATAAGTGTTTCATTGAGAAAAGTCAGTACGGCAATGGCTCCAAAAACACAACCATTGTTCATAAAACTGCAATTCCTCGGTGATAACATCACCGAAATAGTAACACAGAGAACACTTTAGGAAGAATGTGGTTGAAAGAGCTTTCAATGCAGCAGAATTGGTGGTATGTTGTCTCTTCACTGCCACCACTATTCTACGTTCGAGAAATAAGGACAAACTACGTAATTTCGCCTCCTCGTCTATGTGTATCTACCAATTTGACTGCAGCTGCGGAGCCAGCTACATCGGGCGTACAGTTACATATATATATATATATAAATATATATAGTAGAGTTTGAATGATTTTTAATGGGACATAGTATTAGAGTTAAGTGTTTAGATTATTCATGTGTTGTCGGCGTATTTCTGAAATCTGCTTTTAGTATTACGGGGTAGCCTGGTTTATGTGTTTTTATATTACCATATATTCTATTAGCATTATTAATTTTAGGCATTAAATTATAAACTATTTAAACTCACACAGTGACACAGCTTCATTCTGCCTATTAAGTCCACTGTAGATTTCTTAATCTTATTCATTACTACTGCATCTACAGGTTTCTTAATTTACTCATGTTAGACCTGTTTCTTCAATGTGTTCAGTGACTTTCTTTATATATTAATCAGACTTATCCAAAACTACTGTAGAGTTTGCCTTTATCAGTTTTTGTAATAACGATGTTTTTTGTCATTCTTAAGATTGATTAGAGCTAATCTTTCCGATTTTGTTAAGTATGACTGTGTTTTCTTTTTTTGTTTCTTAAGAGTGTTAATGCACATTGAGTTGAAACCTCCTCTGCTTTTGTCTGTCTTATCTGTTAAACTTAATGCTACTTCTATGCTAGGAGTGACAATTTCTGGTTTTAGTTTTGATATGTATCCACATGATGTGTGTTTTGTTTTTGACAGTCTTTTATATTTTGCTATGTGTATATGGATCGATATTTCATTATAACTGACAATATGCTTTTGTCTGTCCACTAACTAAATAAACATGTATGACCTTGTTGTCACATGACATTACAACCAATCATGTTAAGACTAGCTATTTATTGGATCATGTGTATTAGTCGTTTTCATATATACTTTTGTACTGGATACTTGTTTATACTTGTTCCCACGTTTCTTACACTACGTACCATTTCACTCACACTCTTGTGTGACATTTATTTTGCTTGTCTGGAAAATACAATTATCATCGTAAACCTGGTGGTCTTCTGATTTCCCTCTCTCCGCGTCAGGACTATTAACTACTCGACGAGTACATAACATAATTGGCGACGGGGAAAACTTTAATAACTCACTCAGCAGCAGCAGTACATAACAAGTTTGCTAACTGTTGCATTGAAATTTTAATCCCCCTTTTCAAGCAGTTTTTTTTATCTCACTAGAGCTTAAATATCCTTAAAGAGAGAGAGGTTGATTACCACCCACCTTGTTTTGTCAATACAGAAGATGAAGCATATTGTTATTGTCAACTTCTTTGTTCATCATTGTGCAGTGTTCTTTTCTTTTAATAACTTGTTGAATTTTTTAATTTGCTGCGTGGTTATCGATTTCTTTAAGGATGCTTCTCGAGCTTTTTTATTGGGTGTTTCAATCACAATTACATAGTCTATATCATTTAGCCTACATTTAAGTTTGTGTTTGAGTTTTTCAACTTCATTTCCTTTAATATTCTTTAGCTTTATAATAATAATTCTATGTAATATTCTTCCTTAAGACATAATTTCCTGATATGTTCGGTTGCTGATGTTATTTCCCTTGAAGTAATTGGAGTATTTAGGAATTACATCACTTCATCAAACATCTTATCGACAATGGAGAGAGATATCACTGCCTTCCTTGTTGACTAGTAAAATGTGTTGTTGTGTGTTGTACTGTACTCTGAGGAGATCATCAAGTGACGACATCACAGGACAGTCAGTCCACTGGTCGAGTGGAACCCGAACGAGAAGCGTCTAGCTGGTCGTCAGTGCAAGGGTGACATTGAGGAGGTCATTTTAAGAGGAGATGAAAGTATGTGAGCAGATGATGTGGAGCCAGGTGAAAACGTTGGCAGAGAACCGAACGCAACGGAGACGTGCAGCTGAAGCCTCTCTAGGAACTAAAGGAAACAAATAATAATAATAATTGTATGAAAGAAAAGTGCTCTACGTGTGTACCTGTGTGTGTGTATGTATGTTAGAGTAGAGAGTCAGGGTGAGTTGAATATCTAATTGAAGAGGAGTTAATATTTCTTCGTTCACTCATTCCTTTCTTTTGTTTTCGTTTTATTCTTTATTCATTTATTTATTTATACAGGTTGTAACATTGGCAGTGTATATTTATTTTCTTGCCTCGCTTATTGGTCGACAATTTGTAATGGATGCATCACCGTATGCTGACCAAGTGAATTCTAAAGATTTGTACTTTCCATTCTTTACTATCTTAGAATTTATTGTCTATATGGGTTTGTTAAAAGTAAGTAAAAAAGTAGTGCGTTTGTGGTGTGTGTGTGTGATAGATGCCTTTCATTGTGACACATTATTTCTGTATTATCTCTACTGATTAATATATATATATATATTTCAGAAGACGATTATAAGACTTTCAATAGGTGGGCTCTGAATTTTGCAGATGACTCATAACAGAAATTTGAAGACATACAGGCAGGTAGGCGAAAACTGACTGAAGAGACAGGCTGGCAGCGAAGACAGGACTGACTCCATACAGGTGATGAGCATGAAGAAGGCAGGGACGGAGGTGATAAAGACACCAGCCAAACAACCAACAGCAGCAAAAACAACACCTACCAGCACGAATCATTATCAACGGGAGAAAGACTTGACTGACAGAGGTTACTTCTTGTCTTCACTTATCTAGCCTAGGCAGCCAGCATTGTTTTAACCCCCAGCCACTTGGAACGGAACACCTTCACCAACTTAAAATCAGTTCAGAAATCTTCTCCAGTCTGCCTCAGCATAAACACAACAAGATTCGGATTTTAACACAAATATCAGTGAAGTCAGTCAGTCAGTCAGTCACAGTCACTTCTTCTAAATATGTCAGAAACTTGCATCGCGCGTGCATCACGAAAAGCATTTCAACAAGTACCCACTTTGATGATGCCTGGTTCTATACTGGAGATCAAATGGCCAGTCAGCCGGTCGGTCGGTTGGACATATAGAATTAACACCAAGAAACTCTGCTGATGAACAAATCAATCAAGAGCCGCCATTTGCTAAACAAACATGCAGAAGGAAATAGAGATTGATTGACTGATTGATTAGCCATACGTTGAGGAAGGAGACCATTGGTCGAATGATATGGCGCGCAATGCGGGCCATCCATCGCTCGAATGGACTCCGAAGGGGGTGGAAGCGACGAACAAGCGGGTGGTCAGTGCTATTGTGATATGGTGGAGGAGGTGAGAGATTATGGGCAGTCGTCGGCAAATCAGCCAGCTGAAGCAGACAGAGCCAAACAGAAGAAAGTCGAGATGTGGTGTTGTTGAAGCCAGTCCTATGTTCCACTCGAAGTCCAAGGGAATAATAATAATAATTTCAGAACACAATTTAAACAAGCAAATAGGCATTTTCGGTAAGTTCTCCATCGGGCTTTACAGACGCATCATAATCAAATATTATTCATAGACAGTGTTAATCAATCTAATCAAATATATAATCAAGGAGGGAATGTAAGCAGATTAATAAGGATAATAAGTTTTGTAAGTAAGATTCAAATAAGCGACTTTTGATCTGGTTGTGTTCTGAGTCCCGTCTAGACCTAGGTTTCGTGCTAGTTGTCACTCACCAGTCAGTCTGGAAGGCGTATCTCCAACCACATTGAAGGAACAGCTCATGTCACTTATGAGATTCGAACCGGCGTCATCCAGTGAGTAATGCAGAGACGTTATCACTGAGCGACTCAGGCTCGCGAGTGACCTCCTGTAGGGCTGTATTGGAGTCGAGGTCAATGAGAATTTCCATACTAGTGCACACCTAGTGGATACGGAGCACAAGACTGACAAAAAACATCCAGCTTTTACAATTCTATATAGGGTGGTGGCACCTCAACACGGTTGCTAGGCATAGACAGCTGAGACAATTGCTATAAAGACTTTTTAATCCAATCTCTTACTTCCTTGGCCTTCGCCTCCCGCAACCTTAAATAGTTAACTCCCGGTGATAACGGATAACTGTCAATTTTGTCGTAATTGTCAGCTATGCTATAAACTTATAAAAGCATTTTTAAAGAATTCATGAAATGATATCATCTCGTAGCAATCATATTTCCCGCTTACAACTGATTGGAGAGGTCACTGAAAACCACGATGCATTGAATGACTGTTTCGTGTTAGTTTAGACATCTTTATCAGCGCGAACCTACGACCGCTCCACCAGGAATCGAAACCGGGATGGACATTCAGGTTTTGACACCAAGAATGTTGACAACCATTTAGCCAATTGGGTTGATGGAATTGAATAACTTTTGTGAATGCTAATTTTAGTTGGAGGATTTCATCATGCGCTGACATCGGTTGGTGAGAGAACCATTGGAAAACCTTCAGGGAAAACTGGACATCCGTTTCGTCCCGTCTAGTTTGCGACTTTCCATCAGCGCGCACCCATCCCACTGTGGTTTGAACCTAGGACCTTCTGGTTACAAGGTAAGCTAGCTAGCTGGTAATCAGCGGCTCACTCACTTAAACCCGATCCAATGGCCAGTCAGCCACTCCATGAATTCTAACTTCTGCTAATTCACTCATGATATAAGGCGACCAATTAACAATGTCTTCTTCGATGACTAACTGTCCTCACACACACACCTTCGACCAGCTTTGCCCTACTGGTCACGGCTTCCCACTAGGTTGGTGAGACAGTCATTCATCGAAGAAGACACTGCATAGTGGTTGTGCTATGTTAGCCACTGACATAATATGGATGAGGTTGGAGAGGTGTTAGCTAGTGGTGGTGGTGATAGTGCTCAAACGAAAACATGACTTCATCATCAATGTCAATGAAATCCACACGAGTTAGTGTAAGCCAGCCAGCCAGTCAGCCATTCAGTCACGTCGGAAGGTGTAGATTACCTGACTGGCTGACTGCCTGTTCAGCACCCTCGATATGGTGAAAACCAATGTAGGCTTGAGAGACAAATGGTGAAATGGCTGAAAAGCGTTGTCAATGGATGGTGCATATATGCATTCACTCTTTATTATATATCATATTCAATGAAATTCTATTTTTCTTCTACTATATTACTGTTCTTTTTACCTCACTCACACTTGTGTTTATTCTCTTACTTTATCTCTTTCTCTCTCTTCACTCTCATCTCTTGCTTTGTTTGGTACATGGAGACAGAGAGTGCAGCAACGTGAACTGTGGTGGTGCACATGCTTGCAAAGTTGTACATTGAAACTAGTCGGTCGCGGTAACTTTTGAACTACACTCTCAAGGTCTGTATAATGAAAATACTGCATTAAGGAAGACGTTTCTCCAACACAATGAAAATTAATCCTCACACTGATTCTATTTTCTTGGCTGCATAGTCGTGCATTGATAGATTATCAGCTCGCAAAGTTCCTAGTGTGTGTTCTTTCAAGCAGGAGAGCGAAACCTCATATATTCTGTTTTCTCAAGGTTTCGACAAAATCTGTACCCGGGGAATCTATTCACATGACAAAAAATTAATTTCAAAATCTCGGTGTAATTTGTAAGCGTAAAATGGTTTCTCGACCAGATTCATAAACAAGAGAACCCAAAAAGATCCTGTAAAAACTGAATTAAAAATTTAGAGGTGATACTGAAGTAGAAATTCTACGTAAAAGAGTTTTTGAAATCTCCCAGTATAACATCCTTCGCCACCAGCCTACAAGTGATATATATTCTGGCAAGATACTACTCAACCAGGATTAATATATGTGTAAAACTTGGACAGTACTGTGATAGTATGTGATTCGTTATTAGCTTGTTTATTAGATATATCACACAGTCAGTGAAACAGTATTATGATATACTTGATTGCTGTTCATAATATCATATCATCAATTCTAATCACATAACTTTGAAACCCTCGTTTTATAGTTAACTTTATTCTCTCCTAGTTTTGTCGTCGTAGGGGTAGTGGTAGAATTTTCAGATATCTGGGTGGACAAGTGTTGAATCGTTCTCCTATTATATGTGTTTGCACTTGATTCGATGGTGCAGGAATAAAGTGGCTCGCACCTGAAACCTACAAAGTCAATTAGAAATAAGCTTTGTCGGTTAAACGATCCTGTGGGAGCCTTCAAAATAATTATAATTTAGTTCCTATAATACCCTACTGGAATGATTGTCAGGTCGAATGCATAGGTCGAAGTAAGTAGAACGGGTTAAGTCAGTCAGACTAGCGGAGCACAAAAACCAAGTAAAATCTAGATTCAAGTGTTGGTTTGTAGGGATTTGATTGGTTTCAGGACTTCATCATGAGCTGACATTAGTTAGAAAACCATTGGAAAACCTGGGAGTACTGGACAGCTGTTTCGTCCTAGTTTGGGACTCTTCAGCAGTACGTACCCACCGGGATTCGAACCCAGGACCTTCTGGTTACAAGGTTTTCCAATGGTTCTCTAACTAATGTCAGCTCATGATGAAGTCCTGAAACCAATCAAATCCCTACAAACCAACACTTGAATACCAATGAGATGCTCACTGGCGACTGGCCCTATTCAGGTAGGTAGTTACCTGGGTTCCAGTGGGAAGTCGTGACTAGTAGGATGCAGCGGGTCGGGTGTGAGGACAAATACTCGCCGAAGACATTGGCTAGCGGTCGCGCTATGTCGTGAATTGGCAGAAGTTAGAATTCAAGGACCGTTGGAACAGGTCTCAGTGGCTTAATGGTATACGAGCTCGCCTTGTAACCGGAAGGTCCTGGGTTCAAACACCGGTGGGGGCGTACTGCTGAAGAGTCCCGAGCTAGGATGAAACAGCTGTCCAGTACTCCCAGGTTTTCCAATGGTTCTCTAACTAATGTCAGCTCATGATGAAGTCCAAAAATCTAGATTATTTGACTCCAGTAAGGTTGAAAATCTGGAGAAAATATATCAGCAATTGCACGCAAACATACAATATCGGATGATGATGATGGGTTAAGGCGGTAGTTTTAAAATCTAATGTAAAACAGGAAGGAGGGAGAGATTGATAACTGACTGATAGGGGGGGGATTACGTGTAGTAGGAATGATTCAACATCTGGAAAATCCTACCGCCCACGATTTACGGTGAGTAGTAAGGAATAAAGAAAACTACAAACCGAGAGTTTCGAGTTGTGTGACTACAACTAATGAAATGATTATGGACAATAATTAAATAAGTAAATAAACTGTGTTCGAAAGGCGTCATCCAGTAATCACCAATACTACTGTTTTACTGATTGACTGTGTGTGTGTGTGATATCTAATAAACAAATTAATATGGAACTACATACAACCACAGTGCTGCC